TAAATACATGTCTGCAGGGATCTACACAGCGTTCAAGACCTTTCTACACAAAGACAAGATCCTGATTAAAAGACTACTAAAGGTAAACTTTATTCATATTTATCATTCAATATATTATGAAATATCACTAATAAGATAGATAGAGCTTTATTGTCTCGGGCATCGAGATAATACACATAAAACATTCAGGTCAATCCGTCATAGATACAGAACAGAGATCACATGGCAAAGAAACAAACAAGAATCATACAGGTGCAGCACGTTCCCTATTGCACCTATGCATAGTGTCCGTCAGATTGCACATATCCCTACTGTGTCCATACCTATTTACACATAATGCACTTTCCCTATTTAACCTTCTCGATTGCACAAACTACACTGTAAACATTGCCCTCCCAACAACTCCTAACACAGCATAATCACAATTGTTTCTGACTGTTCAGCAGCTTGATTGACAGCGGAACAAAGGAAAACTTATACCTGTTCAATCTACAGTTTGGTAATCTATACCTTCTGCCCGAGGGCAGCAACTCAAACTCTCTATACAGGATGTGTTTGGGGTCGCATGTGATTTTACGGCCTTGCTTTCTCACCATCTCCTCAAATATCTCCTGAAGAGAGGATGGTGGAAGCATGCCAATTATTTTCCCAGCCCTTTTTATCAAGCTCTGGAGTTGTGATTTAGATTTAACTGACAAGTTACCAAACCATGTTGTGATGCCATAACGAATAATAGACTCAATTGCTGCCCTGTAGAACATCAACATGATACATGTATCCACCCCATGAACCCTGAGCCTACTAATACTGAGCTGCGTTCAGGGGATCCAGAGGAAGAGGCCGTCGGAGGTCCAGAGCGCCATCCTGAGGAGACACTTGTTAGAGCTGACCCAGAGCTTCATCATCCCTCTGGTGAGCCAATCACAGAGCAGCATGCTGTACAATCACAGAGCAGAAAGATGAATCCCTGTGTTCTGTCTGACAGGAGCGCTACATGGCCAGCCTGATGCCTCTGCAGAGATCTGTGTCACCGTGGAAGGTAGAGAGGAAGTGACCTTGCGTTACTACTGTGTTGTGTCGATGTTTTGACGTGTTGACGTGTTGACGTGTTGATGTTTTGATGTTTTGACGTGTTGTTGTTGTGCAGACTCCCCCTCAGATCCGGCCCTTCAGTCAGGAGGACTTCCTGTTGTCTCTCGATGACACGGGGCCACAGCTGACCTCGGTGCTGAAAGGTGATTGGCTGGGGCTGTACAGGTGAGGCTCCTTCATGGCTCTGAAACACAGGTAACCTTTACCTCCTCGGTGTGTGTGGAAGATATCAATTAAACTTCTCTGACAGGAAGTTCTTCAGGTCTCCAAACTTTGACGGCTGGTACCGCCAGCGACACCGAGAGATGACCCAGAAACTGGAGAGTCTCCACCTGGAGGTGCTCTGTGACGCCGTGAGTAAACACACCTGTACACATCTGTAAACATCAGTACACACATCTGTAAACATCTGTGAACACCTGTACACACCTGTCGGAGCATAAACACCTGTACACACCTGTCCTCAGGACCTGGTGACCTGGACTAAAGATAAATCGGAGGTGGAAACCGTTGACTTGATTCTGAAGCTTCGAGAGAAACTGGTGAGAAAATAAAACCTAAAACATCACCAGCTGTTCCTCAGTAAACAGGAAGTGTGTTTCTGACAGGAAGTGTGTGTGATTTTCAGAATAAAGCGCGCAGGCAGCAGCTGCAGCTTAAAGACGGAGTTTTAGAAAAACTGGAAAACTTCATTGAGACGATCGTCACGTCTCTACCTGAAGAACTGGGGAGAGTACTGAGTACACACTGTACACACATTACACACAGTACACACTGACTACACACACAGTACACACAGACTACACACAGACTACACACAGAGTACTTTTATTATTAAGTTGTTTAGTGTTTAATGTGATGCTGTTTGTTTATTATTAGTTATTAATAAAGGTCTGTTTTATTTATTATTTATAAATATGTTTCCTGATTGTGTTGTATATCAGAGGGTTAGGGTCTCTCAGACCCCAGAGAATGTGTCTCACAATATTTATAAAGATATTGTAATTATAATTGTGTTCTTGTTTTTATTTTCTATTTATGGATTAAAATATGATGGTCAAATAATTTGGTGTGCGAGTCTTTTTTACAGTGAAATCTGCAAGAGAATTAGCGTTACCTGGTGAGAGATAGCGTTAGCAGTTACCAGGTGAGAGATAGTGTTAGCAGTTAGCTGGTGAGAGTTAGTGTTAGCTGCTTAGTGTTAGCTGTTAGCTGGTGAGAGTTAGTGTTAGCTGTTAGCTGGTGAGAGTTACGGCCCGTCCACACTACAGCTTCAAAAAAAGCTTGCCGGCGGGCGTGTCTGAAGCTCGACCAACAACCAATCACATGGAGCTCCCGCCCCTGACACACAAGCAGCGGTTTGATTGGCTAGAGCTTGTACTGGCATATGATTTGATTGGCTGACGCTTCCACCGAAAGCTTCGGAAGCTTGAAACGCCAGGAAAGCTCCGCTCTGCTACCCACAATTCAGTTCGGCGAAAAGCGAGGCAACGTGACGTCACCCCATTCAAAGTGAATGGGCAGACGCGTTGGAAACCGTTTTTGAAGCTGTCGAAGCTGTAGTGTGGACGGGCCGTTAGTGTTAGCTGTTAGCTGGTGAGAGATAGTGTTAGCAGTTACCAGGCGAGAGATAGTGTTAGCAGTTAGTTGGTGAGAGATAGCGTTAGCAGTTAGCTGGTGAGAGTTAGTGTTAGCTATTAGCTGGTGAGAGTTAGTGTTAGCTAGGGTGACCAAACGTCCTCTTTTGCCCGGACATGTCCTCTTTTCACGCCCTGTCCGGGTCGTCCGGGGGGGGTTTATAAATTCATGAAAATGTCCGGGTTTCGCGGAC